TCGTAGATCAGTCGATGCCCTCCAGCTTTCCCCTCCCTGACGGGGGGGGAGTGCCCGGGAGGGGCAGGGGGGAGAGGGGTAGGGCCCCCAGGGTCCGGCGGCCCCAAAATCCCCCCTGTGGACAGGGATGACAGGGGGGGGTCCCGGAAATGGGACGGATCCCAACCGACTTGTCCCAATTCCAACCGTTCGGAGTGGATTGCAACCAGAGAAGGTCCCAATCCCAACCACTTCAGAGATCTCATCTTCAGAGATCCTACGAGATCTTCAGAGATCCTGCGAAATCTTCAACGAGAGAAAGATACCTTCAGAAACCTCACGAGATCTTCAGAGATCTTTCGACATCCTCAGAAACTCAAGAATGCCCAGGAATTCGAAGTAATCCAGAGAGACCCTCGGAAATCCGGGGGAATCCTGCAAAACCTGCAGGAATCCTGAAGAATTCGGGGAATCTTGAGAGACCCTCATGAATCCTCAGGAATTCGGGGAATCCTGACTCAGGAATCCTCCAGAATTCGGGGGAGTCCTGAGAGAACCTCAGGAAGTCGGGGAATTTTGAAACGCTCATGAATCCTCAGGGACTCGGGGAATCTTGACTCAGGAATCCCCCGGAATTCGTGGGAATCCTGAGAGACCCTCAGGAATCCTGAAAGATCCTCAGGAATCCGGAGAAATCCGGAGAGATCCTCAGAAATCTGGGGGAATCCAAAGAAATCCCCAGAAATCCTGACCTCAAGAATTCCGGTGAATCCTGAAAGATCCTCTGGAATCCAGACTTCAGGAATCCTGAGAGACATCTTCAGAGATCCTGAGAGAAATCCTCGGGAATCCTGCGGGAACCTGAGAGATCCTCCTGAATCCTGAGAGGTCCTCAGGAATCCTCAGGAACCTTCAGGGCTCCGTGCCTAAAGCTTTTTTCAAGCCCGAGAGTCTCTGGAGGCTCCGAAGTACCATCACGCTACCGGAGAGCTGTCTGCCAGCGACGAAGACGACGTCTGCCAACGACGAAGACAACGTCTTCTCTGCCGACGACGAAGACGACGACGACGGCTGACCGCCTTCTCTGCCGACGACGACGGCAACGTCTTCTCTGCCGACGACGACGACGGCTGACCGCCTTCTCTGCCGACGTCTGCCAACGACGAAGACGACGACGGCGGCGGCAGCGACGAAGACGACGACCTTCGAGCTTCGATGCCGGCAGCGGCCGTTCGGCGCGTCGCTGTCTTCGGGGGGCCGCTCTCGGGCCCCCTGGGGCCGTCGGGCTTCGACCTGGGTCGAGAAGCTGCGCGGAACAGATCCTGAGAGGGCTCCTCCTCCTCCTCCTCCTCCTCCTCCTCCCCCTCTCCTCCTCTCCTCCTCCTCCTCCTCCTTCTCCTCCTCCTCCTCCTCCTCCTCCTCCTTCCTCCTCCTTCTCTCCTCCTCCTCCTCCTCCTTCTCCTCCTCCTTCTCCTCCTCCTCCTCCTCCTTCCTCCTCCTCTCCTGACCATCCGACGACGACGACGACGACGACGAACGACGAACGACGAACGACGAACACGACGACGACGACGACGACGACGACGACGACGACGACGACGACGACGACGACGACGACGACGACGACGGCGCGCCCCAAGCGGCGACGGCATTGCGAGGACGACGACGACGGCGCGCCCCAACAGGCTTCCCAAGACGCTACCAAAAACCATGTTCCCAGAAGGTCTTCTGGGAACCCGATTCATCAAGCCTCCGCCCCCCGACGCAACCCTCTTCCCCGGAAGCGTTCCGGAAGATGGATTGACATGCGTGGACGTCCCATTACCCATAATGCGTTCAAAATTTTGGGCACTCCTTCACTTCCCCTTCAAACCGGTCTGTGGTCCACTGGTTCAGTGGAACAGTGAATTCGTCAAGGCCTGGGGCCCGCTACAACCTAAGTGCGCGCGAAGCGCTCGCGTGGTTCTAGTATGTATATATATATATATATATATATATATATACACATATACCTATACGACCACCCTTCGGGTGATAAGGAGGTTGTGAGGGGGGGGAGAGCGGGGGGAACCAACATCTGACTCAATCGATCTCACTATCGATCTCACTATCGATCACACTCAACAGGACACCACGGGCCACCACGGGACACCGCGGGACACCTCTCGTTCTCACTATCAATCTCACGATCGATCTCACTATCGATCTCACTCAACGGGACACCACGGGACACCTCGGGACACCTGTCGATCTCACTATCGATCTCACTATCGATCTCACTCAGCGGGACACCACGGGACACCACGGGCCACCTCGGGGCACCTCTCGATCTCACTATCGATCTCACGATCGATCTCACTCAACGGGACACTACGGGACACCACGGGACACCTCGGGGCACCACATCGATCTCAATATCGATCTCACTATCGATCTCACGATCGATCTCACTCAACGGGACACCACGGGACACCACAGGACACCACGGGGCACCAGCGGGACACCGGCGGGATACCGCGCGGCACCGGCCGCCGGAGGAGAAACATTTGGTCCGGCCGCGGCCCAGCCACAGGAAGATTTCGGGACACCAGCGGGACACCGGCGGGACACCGCGCGGCACCGGCCGCCGGAGGAGGAACAGTTGATCTGGCCGCGGCCCAGCCACAGGAGGATTTCTTCTCGCCCGCCCACGCAGCTTCTTCTCGCCCGCACGCACGCACGGCACGCACGGCACGAACCCGAAACCGAAATCGATTTCCCGGTAGGGGGGGTCTCCGTTTCACGTCGGACTCACCCCCCAACCTCCGATACAAACATATATACATATATACATACATAACATGAGTATGCATATACACGCGCGCAGACACATAGAGAGGGAAACAGAGAGAGTGGACGAGAGAGTGAGAGAGAGCTAACATGTTTTTTTTTCCGAATGTGGCCCTGGGTGGCACTCCTCCGCAGTATATGTAGTGTGTGGACACTTCGACCCGAAGTCCAGCAAATCAAAACTGCCATCGCGGGTGTAAGCCCGTGAGTTAAATGGGGTGAAACCTATCTGCAGACGGACCGCCGTCCACTCCGCCTCACTTGGGCTCCGCCATGCGGTGTAAGCCCGTGAGTTAAATGGGGTGAAACCTATCTGCAGACGGACCGCCGTCCACTCCGCCTCACTTGGGCTCCGCCATGCGGACTACCTACCAGACCACCCCAACCCAACCCGAAGACCCCCATTTCGGGTTGGGGGGGGGGGGTACGGGTTCCACATGTGTTTTTTCAGTGTTCCCCGACCCCCCCCAACTGGAAATGGAGGGCAAATTGAGGCCTTCGGGTTGGGTTGGGGTGGTTTGGTGGGTGGTGACATTGATGAGCGTGTTTTCCACCACCACCACCATAAGTTGGAGGGGGGGGTCCTCCTCCTCCTCCTCCTCCTCCTCCTCCCTCCTCCCCTCCTCCTCCTCCTCCTCCCCCTTCGCCCCATCCACCTTATGGTGGTGGTGGTGGAAAACGCGCTCATCAGACATGCCGAGACCTGCAATCGTCCCGTCGTGGACTCTCCTCCAGCAGCGACCGACCCCATCTCTCCCGCCAGCCCCACAACTCGAGCTGCTCCGTCGAATCACACTCCCTGCGCCGGCCGGAGCCTGCCGTCGGCGCCGCACGGGCGAGGCACCGCTCATGGACTGCCTATACGCCTGGTGAGGAAGCGCGCGCGGGGGGTAGTGGGGGCACGCCGCTGTTGGCCCCTCGAGCTTCTTTTGGCCCCGGGCACCACTGCGCGGCACTCCTCCGCAACACGGCAGGCTCGTGCCGTGCCGACCCCAGCGCTGGTTCTTGACACCGCAGGGATCGTTCAACCTCGAACGATCGGCCGCTGCCGCAACGTCCGATCGTTCAACATCGATCGATTCTGGGTCGCCGGCGGCGTTCAGCCTTGAACGCCCGCGCTGGGGTCGCCGCTGGTCGACACGACGCAAACCTACCGTATAAGTCATGCGTGACCACTTCGAGCGGATAGCATGCAAATAAAAAACTTCATCGCGGGCATCAGCCCGTGAGTTTAATCGGGTCGCCCAGACCACTGCCTTGGTGGCCGCCACACGGACGGGGCACCACTCCTGAGCGTCCTGCGCCAGTGAGGAAGCACCTCCGCGTCCGCCGGTCAGAGGGCTTCCCAGCTTTCCATCTGATGAGAGGGGGTACTCCAGATTTCGTAATAAAAGGGAGGGGGTCTGGACCCTCCAAGACAAGCCATTTCAGACCCCCCCCCCGTGGGAGAACCCTCCAGAACATCGTCCCCAGACCCCCCCAGGCCCTCCAAGATAGCCTGGAAGAGACCCCCCCCGACATGAGGCCCCCTCCCTTTTATTACGAAGTCTGGAGTATCCATGGCGCTGGTTCGGCCCAACCCCCCAGCTGCGGGGCGCAAGCAGGGGCTGACCAGCGCCAATGCGATCGGGATCGGGCTCGTGGAGTTCGGGCGTCCACTCTAAGCCATCGCGAGGGCTTAAAAACAGCAAAAATCGCCCTGAGTCGCCAACCTCTAGGGCTCCCGACTTCGCGCTTCGCGCTGCGCGAAGCGCGAATAACTTCGCGCTCTCGCGCCGCCCTCCCAAAGGGAGAATAGGAGGACGAGGAGGAGGGGGAGAAGGAACGAGGACCGCGAAGCGCGAAGCGCGAATAACTTCGCGCCCTCGAGGGAGCCCTTGCAACCTTGCAGTCAGAGGAGGGGGAGGAGGAGGCCGAGGAAGGGGCGAGGGAAGGGACGCAGGCAGCCGCTTATGAGCACTGGGCTGCGGGACCTCCTCACTGCATTCAGACTCTCGCCTGAGTGGTTGCCTGGCCTCGTGGACACTCCGCGCACGAGCAGTGCGACATTCGCGGATCGGCGTCGCGCAGAAAATCGGGCACTTCCAGCAGCAGGTGTGAAACTGTGAGCTGCATGCAATCCTGCACGCGCGCCCAAAGTGCAAACGCAACTAACTTAAGATCAAAACAATATTGGCCTCCACAGTGAGATTTTACCCCCTGTTTCTGGCAGATACCATTTCTACAATGTGGGACGCCTTTGCTCTGCGAACTGGCTCGGGCTTCAACACCGACTCCAAGCATGCCAGTATCATGTCGTCGTGCACGTTAGCCATAATCGACATCGCCTCCTGGTGGCAACCATGCTGGAAGAAGAACTCGAATATCCGCCGCGCGGCATATGCGATGGTCTCTCCACGACGCCACCGGACGGGCAACTCGAGCGAACCCTGCCCGCAAGCGGTCTCCAGGAACAACACACCTAGACTCCAACAATCTGCTGGCTTGAGCAAGAGCGGCTCCTCCAGCGCCGTCTCTGGAGCGACGCACGGCAGAGATCCGCACGGGGTCTCCCTTGTGCTGGAATTTGGAACGTGGGCGGCCATGCTGAAGTCCACAAGGCGGCAAATGTGCCGATTCCATGCTATCTCTACTGCCACGTGCCTCAAAGACAATTGCCCATGGACGACATCCTGGGCGTGGCAGAGGGAAAGAGCACTCGCGACCTGGGCACTGCAGTTCAAGGCGTCGTCCCTGGACAAGCGGTGGTCTGGTTGAGTCGACAACGCTTGCTCCATGCAAATGTCGCCACCATACTGGATAACCACATACACATTACACTTGCTGTGCAACATGCTTACGCAACGGATGATGTGTGGGTGGTCAAGGGTGTGAGAAAGAGAGATACCAATCGGTTTCACGTAGGCCCCCATGGATTCCAGTAGAAAGACCCCCATCCAATAGGATTCCAGCTGGATTCCAATAAGAAGTCTTTTTCTTGGAATCCAATAGGGCTCATCTTGGATTCGGATCGGATGTCGAATTGATTCCAATAGGGAGGCCGCCAATTTTTGGATTCCAATAGGACTCCAAGGTGGGTTCCAATAGGGTTCTGAGTGGCCCCCATTGGTTTGTTATTGGGTTCCAATGGGAATGCGTCCTATTGGATACAGTTGAGAAGGCCTCCTGTTGAAATTCAATCGGATTCCTGCACATGTACGCTAAAAACCGAATGGTATATCAGTGAGGAGGTTTTCTGTGGGGGTCCAATCGGATTCCTTTTAGGCTCAATTGGAATTTAGGTTTGATTTTAATAGCAAGGCCTCCTTGGCATTTAATTCGAACTCAATCGGAATCGAATCAGAATTTCAATGGAATTCCAACAGGAAGGCCTACTGGGAATTCAATGGGATTTCATCCAACAGGTACATGAGAGGAAGTTAACAGGAGTTCACTAGGAACCCAATAAGAATTTTCTAGGAATCCAATAGGATCGCCCACTTATGGCCAGTACCTTGGTCGGGGCTTCAGCATAGCTGTGTGAAAGCATGATACGGGTATGGGTTTCGTGTATTTCACACTTCAGGTAGGAGAGGCCTTCTTATTGGAATTCCTTTTGAGACACTCTGAAATTATTGTTACGCTCCTATCGTAGACTTCGGAGGCCTTCTTATTGGAATTCCGTTCAATGTGTTAGAGGGAGGCCTCCTACAGAATTCCAATAGGGAGACCGCCCACCAAACCCCAAACCGAAATCGCCCGCTCAATGCGTCAGGTGTTCCAACTACTACTACTACTACTACTACTACTACTACTACTACTACTACTACTACTACTACTACTCCTACGACCATTACGGTTACCATTCCTACTACTACTACTACTACTACTGCTACTACTACTACTACTACCACTACTACTACTACTACTGCTACTACTGCTACTACTACTAGTACTACTGCTACTACTACTACGACTACGACTACGACGACGACTACTACTACTACTACTAATACTACTACTACTGCTACTGCTACTGCTACTGCTACTACTACTACTACTGCTACTACTACTGTTACTGCAACTGCTAGTGCTACTGCTACGGCTACTACTACTGCTGCTGCGAGTGCTACTGCTACGACTACAGCTACCACTACTACTACTAACGCTGCTGCTGCTGCTACTACTACTACTACTACTGCTGCTACTACTACTACTACTGCAACTACTACGACTACTACTACTACTACGACTACTACTCCTACTCCTACTCCTGCTCCTACTCCTACTCCTCCTCCTCCTACTACTACTACTACTACGACTACTACTACTACTACTACTACTGCTACTACTACTACTACTACTACTACTACTACACCTACTGCTACGACTACTACTACTACTACTACTACTACGATGACGACTACTACTACTACTGCAACTACTACTAAGTCCACTGCTGCTAAGACTGAAGCTACTACTACTACAACAACTACTACTACGACGACGACGACGATGACGACGACGACGACGACGAGACTGACAACTGCTGCTGCTGCTGCTGCTGCTATAGGCTTGCTAGCTGCTACTTCTGCTACTACTACTACTACTACTACTACTACGAACTACTACTACGACCCGAACTACGACTCCACTACTAACTAACTACTACTACTACAACTACTAACTACTCACTACTACGACTACGACTACAACTACTACTACTACAACTACTACGACTACTACTACTACTACTACTACTACTCTACTACTACTACTACTGACTACTACTAACCCAACTCCTACTCCTACTCTACTCCTACTCCTACTACTACTACTACTACTACTTACGACTACTACGACACTACTACTACTACCTACTACTACGACGACGACGTCTTCCGCTACCACCAACCACCACCACCACCACCACTACTACTAACTACTACTACTACTAACTAAGTACTACTACTACTGCTACTACTACTACTACTACTAACTACTACTAACTTACTTAATTACTTACTTACATACTTACTTACTTACTTACGTACTTACTTCCTACTACTACTACTACTACTACTACTACTACTACTACGACTACTGCTACTACTACTACTACTACTACTACTACTATTACTAATACTACTACTACTACACTACTACTACTACTACTATAACTACTGCTGCTAACGACTCGACTACGACTACGACACGGCTATGTCTACTACTACTACTACTACGACTACGACTACGACTACTACTACTACTACTACTACTACTACTACTACGACTACTACTACGACCTACTACGAACACTACGACTACTACGACTACTACGACTACTACTACTACTGCTACTACTACTACTACTACTACTACTACTACTACTACTACTACTACTATTACGATTAGAAGCTACTACTACTACTGCTACTGCTGCTGCTACTGCTACTGCTACTGCTGCTGCTGCTGCTGCTGCTACTGCTACTACTGCTACTACTACTACTACTACTACTACGACTACTACTACTACTACTACTACTACTACTACTACTACTACTACTACGACTACTACGACTACTACGACTACGACTACGACTACGACTACGACTACTACTACGACTACTACTAGTACTACTACTACTGCTACTACTACTGCTGCTACTACTACTGCTACTTCTACTGCTGCTACTACTCTAATTGTTATACTACGGCAGGTTCTATGACTGCTACTACCACAACCGCTCTTCAAAGTGCTCCTGCGAAGACCGAAGTGGTGCCAATTCCAACTCTGGCACGTATGTTAGCTTCCAGACTAAATGCGGCGACATGACAAGTGCCACTTGGGTTTTACACTTGTCTTGAACCGCTCTCCATATTTTTTCCTATTGTGGGCTTATCTTCCACTGGTTGGGATTCGGACCGGCTTGCTTTTCGCGCGGATTGGGATTGGTACCGGTCGGTTGGGATTGGGGCCAATCGGTTGGGATTGGGCCGACATGCGGGGGGTCCCCCCTGCGGGTTTGGACGCCCGAAATGGGTACGGAAAGAATGGGCACTGTGCCCAACAACCAATGTTGTCCCAAACCAACAGCGGCCGCTGTTGGGCAGGCGGCCTCCTGTCTCGAATGGACACAAGCCGCGGCGGCGCGGACAGCGAATCCTGTTCAGAATGAACAGGAACTGCTGTTGGGCATAGTACCCATTCTTTCGGTACCCATCTCGGGCGTCCATGCGGGCCGACATGCGGGGGGTCCCCCCTGCGGGGGGGGGTCCTGGAGGGGGATCCTCGGGGGAGGTCCCGCCTATGGCGGGGGTGGTCCTGGGTCAACATGCCGCCCCGCCCCCACGGGGCCCGGGCAGCTCCCCGGGCGGGGGCGCCGGCGGGGGTCCCCTGTGGAGGTCTCGCGCCTTCGCGGTCGGCGGCACAGGCCGTGAGGCCTGCAGGATGTACAGAACGCGCACAACTTTGAAGGGGCCCTGGGACACACAAATAAATACACACAAATAAAAATGTTCCCCATATTTTCCCATATTTTGGGGGTTTTGGTCTTCCCCCCCACTTCCCATATTTTTGTATATTTTCCTGGGAGTCGACGATTAATTGTGTCTGTGTTTTTCCCCCTCCTGAAACTTTACAGACGGCATGCGATATCCCTGTGGGGCGGGGGCCTCGCAGAAGGCCCTCACACCCCAGTGTCGAATCATCACTGCCCTTGCTGCGATCGTAGTCTCAATTCCCCCCCCAAAACATCGCTGCCATCATCATCGTCGCTCGCATACCCTATGCCAGAACTATTATCATCCTCCGTTGGCCCCAAGCGCCCGTTATTCTCGGGTGCACGCGGACCGCGCAAGGGAAATACAATGCCCAGAGCAATGCCCAGTGCACGGAAGGTGTACAGTCAAGCAAACACCAGAACGCAACGAAGCCACATCGGTAGCAAAGCACCAGCGACATCATCGTTGTCGCCATCAGAATCACAATGTCCTACCTATATTTGCATGCGACAAGCATCCACCTGGTGCTTGCCACCACAGGTTTCACAAGCCACCCTTGAAACCGAGCTGGGCTGAGGCCATCGAGGATACAGGGTGGATCGAGACGAGAAGCACATTTGACTGCTGGACATCCAGAACACTCCCTACTGCATGTTACAGCGCTTGACGCAGCAAGCACCCACAAACAACATCGTTCAACAACAGTGTTTGGGATGCATGACCCATATTTGCGCTAATTCTCCGACGCGGCCATGGGCGAGGACCCAGGGTGAGAAGCAAGCCCCCGAGGGCAAACATTCGCAGCCATCGCGCGCCCTGGCGCCTCATGGTGCCAAAATTGTACATGCGTGCAGTCGACAGTGCCAGATAACAGGTATGTCATGTGATGGGCCTGTTTTCCACCACCACCACCATAAGTTGGAGGGGGGAGGAGGTGGAGGACGAGGAGGAGGAGGAGGAAGAGGAGGAGGAGGTGGAGAAGGAGGAGGAGGAGGAGGAGGAGGAGGGGAGGAGGACCCCCTCCCCCTCCAACTTATGGTGGTGGTGGTGGAAAACAGGTCTATCATCATGGACGTGCCTGCACAGCTGTTTCTCGAGATTGCCCCAACGATGCGGGCCGCTCACGTCGGGCCCAACGACCCTGGGCGACCCCAATCCCACAGCACCCGCAACATCGCTTCTCCGAAGCCTTCGGCCTCCTGAGAAGCCATGTTGGGCGCCCGAGTTATCCGGGGTAACTCGGGTTTGGATTCCCGAAAAAGGAACCCGAGTTAGCCCTGACCCGAGTTACCCCTGATGATGTGGGGCTCTGGACGCCCGAGTTATCCGGGGTAACTCGGGTCCGGGGTAACTCGGGCTTGGATTCCCGAAAAGGAACCCGAGTTAGCCCTGACCCGAGTTACCCCTGATGATGTGGGGCTCTGGACGCCCGAGTTATCCGGGGTAACTCGGGTCCGGGGTAACTCGGGTTTGGATTCCCGAAAAACGAACCCGAGTTATCCCTGACCCGAGTTACCCCTGATGACTCGGGGCTCTGACCATGTGCTGCTTGGGAGAGGGCTCAGAAGGCCTCCTATAGAAGTCGCGAGGGCTGCTGAGGAGCCCCGCCGCCCGCCTCCTCACCCCCCGGGCGAGCCGCCGACACAGCGGGGGCGACGAGGTGCCACTGTCGGTCGCTCGCAAGCAGGCCACCTCACATGAAATTCTGCTGTGGATGACTCCATCGGAGGCTCCTGAGGCGTGACAGGCCTCAGAGTGCAGGGAGCTGCTCGACCCCATGAGAGCGAGCTGCTGGATCTCCGCCCAACACTAGCCAGGTAAATTCGTCTGAGGCAGCAGGCGAACAGAAGCGGCGATCCGCTTTTCCGAGGGCCCGCCCCAGGCACTCGCTCCCCCCGCGGGGGAGGACAGGTGGAGGGAGGACAGGGCGACCTGAAGCCGGCGATACATTACAAATGCAACGGCGATGGGCCCCCGATTGCAAATCCTCACGTTCCTGGGCGGGGAGTGCCGTCCGGCCCCTATCGGCGAGCGACTGGGGGCCAATGCATCCCCCCGGAGCCTATCCACCCCTACTGTTACCCCCGAGGCCAAGGACAGGCGCGAGGGAGCGAGAGAATCCTGTGCTTGTGGCATGCCGCGCTTATCCCTTGCTGCTCGGCCACCGGTCCTGGTGCCTTCAGATCGCCTCCCCCCGCCCGGGCCCACCGGCCTTCGCGTACGAGTCCTGCACTTTGCAGATCTGCCCTCGCAGCTCGGCCATCTCCGCCCGCAGACGCTGGTTCTCTTTGCGCTCCTCCTGGATCTTCCGGACCTGCCAGGGGTGACCACTGGTGGGCTGGATCCGCTGGGCGCAGGGCTGCGCCCCGGGGCAGAAGGCGAAAGGTTAGAAAACGGAAGGATACGTGGGGGAGGTAGACGCGCAAGCAATGGAATAAACATAAACCTTGGGAGGGCCGCGCGGATGTCTTGGTTTGGCGCTGGACCTCCCTCCCTCCCTTGCGCGCGGAGCGCGCCAGGGGCAGCGCCTGAGGCACCGTCAAGGGGGCCCAGCGCCGATCCAAGAAATCCGGAGTCCGGATTTCTTGGATCGGCGCCCTGATCCGTCCGGCGGACGGATCAGGGCCCAGTGTTAAGTCGGGCATGTCCCCCTACAGGCGGATTTTGGATGAAACGTAAAAAAATACTCAAACGATACTCCACCAAAAATCGAAGATTGTCAAAACATCGTCCCCTGACTATGTTGTAGCTATTTTCCCCAATCAGAGCTTGCCTCTGTAGGGGTCCTAGCGGATTAAAGGGCGGTTAGGTGAGGTGCGTCGCCGATTTCGGTGGCCGGGCCCTGGTGCCCAGGTGCCCGGGTGCCCGGCGGTGCCCGGGTGCCCGGGTGGCCGGTGAGGTGCGTGGCCGATTTCGGTGGCCGGGCCCAGATGCCCGGGTGCCCGGTGCCCGGGGGCGCCCGGGTGCCCGGGGGTGCCCAATAGCCCAATCGCCCAGTAGCCCAGTAGCCCTATAGCCCTATAGCCCTATAGCCCTATAGCCCTATAGCCCTGTAGCCCTATAGCCTTATATCCCTATAGCCCTAATAGCCCTATATCCCTAAAGCCCTATAGCCCCATAACCCATATAGCTCTATAGCCCCATAGCCCTATGGCCCTATAGGTCACAGTCCTATAGCCCTATAGCCATATAGCCCTATAGCCCGATAGTCCTATAGCCCTATGGCCCGATAGCCCTATATCCCTATAGCCCCATAACCCATATAGCTCTATAGCCCCATAGCCCTATGGCCCTATAGGTCACAGTCCTATAACCCTATAGCCCTATAGCCCTATAGCCCGATAGTCCTATAGCCCTATAGCCCGATAGCCCTATATCACTATAGCCCGATAGCCCGATAGCCCGATAGCCCTATAGCCCGATAGCCCTATAGCCCGCCCTGTAGCCCGATTACAAAGGGATCAATTGGAATATTTAAAATATATGATAGGGCTTTTTCTCTGGTACGATTTGAATATTCCTCCTGTAGAAGGACAGGCCCGACTTAAGCCCAGTGCAGCCTGGACCGCGGGCGAAGGAGAGGGACAACAACACTTCGCAAGGCGGAGGGTTGGTCGAGAGGGAGGCGCAGCGGGAGGCGGACGCGAGGGCGCGGGGAGCGGCAGGGAGCGGCAGAGGCGAGCGACCCCGAGGAGAACCCCCGCAGACAAGAGGGCGCCGTTCCCCGCCGCGCTGCATCGACGCCCTCGGCCCAAGTGTAAAACAGGGCTAGGACCGGGATAAATCGCTCCAGAACGTTCCGGAGCGCTCTCAGAGCGTTCCGGAACGCTCTGGAGCTGGCCGCGGCGCCCAATACATCCTCCAAACCCGCCGATTCTCAGAGATTTCGAGTTATCCCGATCCGATTTTGTCCCGATCTTCGCGTCGTTTTAAGGTGTGATACCGTCGGACCTGGGGCAGAAGACCATCCCTCGAGAACAAGAGACCCTCCGCCAGCCCAAACTGAAGAACGATCGAGGGTGCCCTCCGGGTCGGGCGAAAGGGGGGGATAGCAAAGGGGGGGGGGTGAGAATCAGCTCGCGTAGCTGATTTCCCCGGCGCCTCCCGGCGCCGGAGGCGGCTATGCATCGAGGAATGGGCCCCTCGGTGAGGCCGAAACCAGCTGCATGCAGCAAATTTCGTAACCCCCCCTTTCCCAATCCCCCCCTTTCGCCCGGCCCGAGCATGGGGGAGAGCGGAGTGTTCTCGAAGGCGCACGAGAGAAAATCCAGGCAAGGTCCAGGCAAGACGCTGGCACCTGCCGCCGCTCGGACGTCCACTTCCCGTGCATGTTCCGGCTTCGTGCGTGCCTGTATTGCTCGATGATCCAGGATGGCCCTCGATGGCTCTCCCCGAGCAGACATGCACACGCCCGAGCGACGCCGAGGGCAGGAGTGAGCGACGCCCCCCTTTCGCCCGGCCCGAGCCCTCCCCAAGGATGCACCATGGACATCCAACGAGCACGAAGAACGCGAGGGTACCCGCCCCGAACCGACCTCGATCTTAGTTACCTCGGGCCGGCTGCAGTCGGAGGCGGGTCGGCCCGGAAGTTGGAGGCTCGGGTTCCGTCGGGCGCGCCCCCCTACAGGGGGATTTTGGGCGAAAAACTGGATAGTCGAAGCCAATCTGGCGCCAATCTGGCAGGCCCAATCTGGCAAACGGGGGCAATCTGGCGAGGGAGCCAACGCGAATCCAGTCTGGCGAATAACCCAAATCATCCAGTTTGGCCGGGCCAGACTGGCCCGCGGGGCCCAATCCAATCTGACAGTCTGGCCTTCGACTACCCAGACAAGGGGATTTTGGGCGAAAAATGCAAAATACTCCAAACATGCCCCCCAAATGGGCAAACATAGCAGCAGCAACAGCAACAGCAGCAGCAACAGCAACAGCAGCAACAACAGCAACAGTAGCAACAACAGCAACAACAGCAACAACAGCAACAACAGCAACAACAGCAACAGCAACAGCAACAGCAACAGCAACAGCAACAGCAACAGCAACAACAACAACAACAACAATCATTTTACCCGAACGCTCAGTGTTCTCACCAGTGCCAGGGTTTTCATGCGACGCGAGACAATACCCCCACTTCGTGGGGGGGGCAGTTCAAGCTCTACCAAATATCCAAACGACTCTTCGCGACCACCCAAACCCAGCTTCCCGCCCTATGACGTTGGGACACTTCACTTCGTGGCGTGCGGACGACCGTGGCTACTACACTGGCGTGGGGTACACACCCACAGAACTTGGTCACTTATTCGGGGCGCGCGTGTGCCCAGCATCCTGCAATTGTGACATACAATACATGACACAGACAGACAGAGAGAGAGACAGAGAGCAGACAGAGAGAGAGACAGAGAGAGCGGAGTTGGTCACATTTTTGGGGCAAGTTCCTGAGATCGTCGTGTTTGTTGTTGGTCTTGCGCGCGCGAATGTCCACTTTACTTTTTTTTTTTGCAAGGGAGTATTGAAATTTGATTATGTTAGAACAAGAAAAAGTAGCTCGCGCGAGCTCATGTAACATAAATGTTGAAAAACCATTGGTTTTGTGGGAGTCGGACAGCGCGCGCGGGATGAAATTTGGACATTTTTTTTTGAAAAACCATTGGGTTTTTGATGTTTTAATGTTGAAATCGTTACGAAACCTAAGGTTCTGGAAGGATTTCGTCTTGCGCGCGCGAATGTCCACTTTACCTTATTTTTTGCAAGGGATTATTGAAATTTGAATATGTTAGAACAAGAAAAAGTAGCTCGCGCGAGCTCATGTAACATAAATGTTGAAAAACCACCCGACACGGCTCCAACATTCTTCATTCTGACAGCGCGGGGGCCGGACACGGAAGGACATTTTGGGACACGGTTTTCTTAAAAAACCATTGGGTTTTTGATGTTTTTATGTTAAAATCGTTACGAAACCTAAGGTTTTGGAATGATTTCGTCTTGCGCGCACGAATGTCCACTTTACCTTATTTTTTGCAAGGGATTCTTGCAATTTGATCAAGTAAGAACAAGAATTTTCATTTTATAGTGTTTTTTGCAAGGGAAAACGGAGTACAACAAAACAACCGGATCCGGTAATAATTCACTTTTCTGAAGCTTTCGCTAAAAAATTATGAAAATGTAGCTGCGGCCTAGGTTTTGGAGGGGGGTCGCGCACCAGGGGTCCCAACAATAATTATTCTTTAGAAGTAATAATGTTCCACAACAACAGCAGCAACAACAACATCAACAATTACTAGCACGTGGGGACACTCCGTTCTCACCAGTGCCAGGGTTTTCATAGGAGGCGGGCAATACCCCCACTTTGTGGGGGGGCCGGTTCAAGCTCTACCACATTTCCAAACGATTCTTCGCCACCACCCACACCCAGCTTCCCGCCCTATGACGTTAGGACACTTCACTTCGTGGCATGCGGACGACCGTGGCTACTATTCAGGGCCCCGCGGCCGACGACGACGGCGTGCGCGCGCGAAGAAAAAACGAATGTGTCCCGCATGGTAGTATTTGACAGGGATGAAGGCCCTGGCAGGTGCGCAACCGTTGTCGCAGAAGTTCGAAAAAGTTGCTCGCAAAAGCCCGTTTGACAGAAATGTTTAAAAAGTGTTGGTTTCCCTACGAATCCGCAAGAGCGCGAGATGAGATTTTGACATTTTTTTGTTGAAAAACCATTGGTTTTTTGATGTTTTTATGTTAAAATCGCTGCGAACACTAAGGTTTTGGAAGGATTTCGTCTCGCGCGCGCGAATGTCCACTTTACCTTATTTTTTGCAAGGGATTCTTGAAATTTGATTATATTAGAACAAGAAATGTCATTTTCTATTGTTTTTTGCAAGGGAAAGCGGATTACAACAAAACAGCCGGATCCTGTACACACCCTCTTTTCTGAGGCTTCCTCACGAAAATGATGAAAATGTAGCTGCGGCCTAGGCGGCGCAGGGGGGGGCGCGCACCAGGGGGCCCAACAATAATTATTCTTTAGAATAAATAATGTTCAACAACAACAACAACAACAACAACAACAACAACAACAACAACAATCATTTTACCCGAACGCTCAGTGTTCTCACCAGTGCCAGGGTTTTCATGCGACGCGAGACAATACCCCCACTTCGGGGGGGGGCAGTTCAAGCTCTACCAAATATCCAAACGACTCTTCGCGACCACCCAAACCCAGCTTCCCGCCCTATGACGTTGGGACACTTCACTTCGTGGCGTGCGGACGACCGTGGCTACTACACTGGCGTGGGGTACACACCCCCAGAACTTGGTCACTTA